CAGAAATAGACTTCATGAGGGACCCGGGGGGCCCGAGTGCCTGACATCCTCTAATTAGCCGTTGAACATCCCCCAGAATTGGCAGGTCTGCCACTGGCACCCTGTGCTTTTCACACGAGTGCAGGTTCACCCTGAGCACGTGACAGACGTGAAAGGGTCCTCCTGGAGAATGTCATGCTGCCTGCAACATTGTTCAGCATGAACGTTTTAGTGGTGGGTCAGTGATGGTCTGGGGAGGCATATCCATGGAGGGAGGCACAGACCTCTACAGGCTAGACAATGGCACCCCGACTACCATTTGGTATCAGGATGAAATCCTTGGAACCATTGTCAGACCCTACGCTGTCAGACCCTACGCTGGTGGGTCCTGGGTACCTCCTGGTGCATATCAATGCTGGCCTCATATGGCAAGAGTATGCAGGTAGTTCTTAGAGGATGAAGAAATTGATACCATTGAATGGCCCCCATGCTCGCCTGATCAAAATCCAATTGAACACTTCTGGGTTATCATGTTTCGGTCCATCCAACGCCGCCAGGTTGCTCCTCAGTGATGGCCTGGTCCAGATGTGGGAGGAAATAGACCAGGACACCATCTGTTGTCTCATTAGGAGCATGCCCCAACATTGTCAGGCATGCATACAAGCATGAGGGGGCCATACAAACTACTGAGTGCCATATTGAGTTGCTGCAATGAAATTTCAGCAAAATGTACTAGCCTGCTGCGCCTTGGGCTCCTAACACATTACCCAGTCCATATCAGTATAGATATCCAGCATGATATTTTTCCCCATTGTGATCTGATGTGTTTTCAAAGTTTTCCTTTAAATTTTTTTGAGCAGTGTATTTAGAAAGCATAGTTGTTGAGCCTTCCTCCAGAATGGGCTCTGTGGTTGTATTGGCTACCATAAAGAGCCAGAAAGAAGGATGCCCATAGCGTAGTATTTAAGCAAGCGCATTTATTAGAAATATGCAGCCAACACAGCAAGAGAAAATTCACAGCTCCTCCTTGACGCGTTTCATGCAGTAACACGTATTCATAAGGGGTGTGCTCGAGAACACCCCTTATGAATACGTGCTATTGCAGGAAACACGTCAAGGAGGAGCTGTACAGGGTGATGTCACGCCGCCAAGACCACAAGGAGGTCTGGCAGCCATCTTGAGTACTCATATGGTCAGTGAATTTTCTCTTGCGGTGTTGGCTGCATATTTCTAATACATGAGCTTGCTTAAATACTACACTATGGGCATCCTTCTTTATGGCTTTTTATGAGCCAATACAACCCCAGAGCCCATTCTGGAGGATGGCAGTGGTGCGGCAGATAACCCAGGGGAAGGGGATCTCTCGGACCAGACCAGGCTTCTGATATCCTTAAAGGGGACCTCTGGCTGACAACCATATACACAAATGAGTATTATGATTGCAAATCTGGTGAGTGCGTAATCTAAACATACAGGTGAAACTCGAAAAATTAGTATATCGTGCATAAGTTCATTTATTTCAGTAAAGCAACTTAAAAAGGTGAAACTAATATATGAGATAGACTCATTACATGCAAAGCAAGATAGTTCAAGCCGTGATTTGTCATAATTGTGATGATTATGGCTTACAGCTCATGAAAACACCAAATCCACAATCTCAGAAAATTTGAATATTACATGCAATCAATAAAACAAGGATTGTACATAGAACAATATCGGACCTCTGAAAAGTATAAGCATGCATATGTACTCAGTACTTGGTTTGGGCCCCTTTTGCAGCAATTACTGCCTCAATGAGGCGTGGCATGGAAGCTATCAGCCTGTGGCACTGGTGAGGGGTTATGGAAGACCAGGATGCTTCAATAGCGGCCTTCAGCTCTTCTGCATTTTTCGGTCTCATATCTCTCAGCTTTCTCTATGGGGTTCAGGTCAGGCGAGTTTGCTGGCCAATCAAGCACAGTAATCCCACAGTCACTGAACCAGGTTTTGGTGTTTTTGGCAGTGTGGGCAGGTACCAGGTCCTGCTGGAAAATGAAGTCAGCATCCCCATAAAGCTTGTCTGCGGAAGGAAGCATGAAGTGCTCCAAAATCTCCTGGTAGACGGCTCCATTGACCCTGGACTTAATGAAGCGCAGTGGACCAACACCAGCAGATGACATGGTTCCCCAAATCAACACAGACTGTGGAAACTTCACACTGGACTTCAAGCATCTTGCAGTGTGTGCCTCTCCATTCTTCCTCCATACTCTGGGTCCTTGGTTTCCAAATGAGATGCAAAAGTTGCTCTCATCAGAAAAGAGGACTTTGGACCACTGAGCAACAGACCAGGTCTGTTTTCCTTTAGCCCAGGTAAGATGCTTCTGACGTTATTTGTTGTTCAAGAGCGGCTTGACAAGAGGAATACGACATTTGAAGCCCATGTCCAGGATCTGTCTGTGTGTGGTGGCTCTTGATGCACTGACACCAGCCTCAGTCCACTCCTTGTAAAAGTCCCCAACTCTTTTGAATGGCCTTTTCCTGACAATCCTCTCCAGGCTGCGGTCATCCCTGCTGCTTGTGCACCTTTTTCTTCCACACTTTTCCCTTCCACATAACTTTCTATTAATGTGATACAGCACTTTGGGAACATCCAACTTCTTTCTTTCAATTACCTTTTGAGGCTTTCCCTCCTTATGGAGGGTGTCGGTGATGGTTTTCTGCACAACTGTCAGGTCAGTCTTTCCCATGATTGTGATTCCTACTGAACCAGACTGAGAGACCATTTAAAGGCTCAGGAACCCATTGCAGGTGTTATGGCTTAATTAGCTGATTAGAGTGGGACACTTTGAGCCTAGAATATTGCACCTTTTCACAATATTCTAATTTTCTGAGATTGTGGATTTGGGGTTTTCATGAGCTGGAAGCCATAATCATCACAATTATTACAAATCACAGCTTGAACTATGTTGCTTTGCATGTAATGAGTCTCATATATTAGTTTCACCTTTTAAGTTGCATTACTGAAATAAATGAACTTTTGCACAATATTCTAATTGTTCGAGTTTCACCTGTACATTCTTGGCACATCACCTGTTAGAAGCATACGGATCACCTACTTAAGACCAGTTTGGCCTGATCTTCACTACAAATATCCTGTGGACTTGCATATATTATAGTTTGAAGTGGTGTTTTTAGCACTAATTTATGCTCACTGTTGTCATGTTAGTAGCACTATATTGTGGATATATATTCACACATGATTTGCACCTTATATGGGCATAATATTTATTCATTCATTTATGTATATGTACATATTTTTTATATAATTATTTATTGGTATACAGTGATTCATTTTAACAGCTTATCTTTAGCGCTGCACCTTTCTTTATTTTTACTTGTTTTGGAGGTTTATTTTGGTTACCTTTTGGTGCATGAGGGGCTTATGGGTTTTTTGGCGCTCGCTTTTCTGCCTGTATTATATAGTTGTTGAGCCTACTCACACATTTGCCACTGTCCTTTTACCCACAAAATATGCTTTAATGACTGTGGCATGAGAGAGCGCCTCACAGCCACATACAGACCCCAGAACACTAAATTTAAAAAAAAAAAAAAAAAAAAAAAAAAAAAAAAAACCCCACACACACAGATATTACATATGCTTTTCTACAAACAACCTACCTTAACCTAATGATTGTCAATATTTCTGTACTCAAAGAGGTACTTTTTTTGCATGGAAATATGTCGTTTTTTATTGTAGGCCTGTAATTCTTAGGAATAACTCACTGAAATCTGTCCAAACAAGAGTCTAGTAAACATCCCGAGTGTGATAAAATTTGAAACATGAAATCCTAAATTATAATATAAATCATAAAAAATATAATACATTTAATTCAATAATATAAATCAAACCGAGAGAGACACATCGCGGGAGCGAAGGATAAGGCAAGTGCAAGAGGGATCCCAGAGCAACGCTGCAGGGTATTCCCCGAGTGTAGCTCGGGGTTACTGCTATTGGTACTGAAAGTTTACCCCGAGCTACACTCAGGAATACCGCCAGGGAGGTTAAAGAACTTCAGGCGTTTATAATGTATTTAGAGTGCAGTGGTATGTCCTAAAAAGCCATGTGTACAGAATGCATTGGTCAAGGGCATGAAATGTACAACACAGTGTATGAAGCAGGTTCCAGTGCGCAACCCACAGAGTGCAGGGGTCAGGAGTGCATATGTGTTTTAGTAGAAACCATTATTATTGCTTGTGGGAAAATGAAGTTGCAGGTCTTCTTTAATAATTTCTCAAAAATATTTTTCTTTGTTTGTGTACACTTTCCAATTGCCTGTTCAATTGGAATGTGCTTTTGCATATTTCTGTTTGTTTATTTATATAGCAAATACACGATTCCTTCTTAGTCATGTGAAGATGGGAAGCCACAAGCTCAATTTATTTATTTCAGAACATATTGAACAAATATACAAGTCACACTATTTATGATCTAGACAGAAGGTGATTTAAATTTTTTTTGCAACATTCAAATATAGCAAGTGATACCAAGTTAAAAATAGTATCAAAATTAAAATGACAATAAAACATTATAGAAATGAATACATTCATGTAGTACACGTTATAGTAGCATCTTATACAATTGGAAGAAATAGAAAAAAAAAACTTCTCCAGTAAGGCCCCTTTCACATGGGGCGGAATCTGCTTTGCTAAGCAAGGAATCTGTCTGCTGACCCTCTGCTGAGCAGAGCAGGCAGATGACAGGTCTGTGTTTGCTCAGTTTATGCAAAGCAAACACTGCCTGCTCTGCTCTAAGGGCAGCCAGGAGTAAACAGACCGGCTGTTCCTTTACACATGACTGCCCTCTGATCGAGTACGTTTTTCCTTAGCGGATTGAAGGTAGGCGGGTGTAAACAGACACAAGTCCATTAACACCCATCAGTCCATAGGAATACATGGCCCATCCGATCAGTTCCGCCTGAAAAACTGACAGACAGACATGATTGGATCAACCGTGTGAAAGAGGCCTAAGACTTGGAAAAAGGTTAGATATTTGTACACTGCTTTGTTTGAAGTATTCTTTTCTTTTCCCAGGGGATAACATACACTTTGAAAACACACCTACGTTTCTGCAAAAAGAACAGAAAATAAAATGAATGAATTGAATGGATAATTCAAAATATGTGCAATACAGTTGTTAACTAGCCAAGTGCTGAAGTTCATTTTCCCCCCCATGCCACAGCAAAATACTGTTGCATTTCCTTCTCAAATACCTCAAGGGGAATTTATCAAAACTGGAGCAGAAAGAATCTGGAGCAGCCATACATGGCAACCAATCAGTTTCTAGCTTTCATTTTCAAAGCTTAACTGAACAAGCTGAAGTTGAAAGCTGATCGGTTGCCATACACAGCTGTTACAGATTCTGGCTGTTTCAGTTTTGAGGAATTCCCCCCCCCAAATTGTTATACACTTACTAATTCAGAGCGGTCAATGCATAGCAAACACTTACGGGTGCTAGTTCTTCAAGTCTTCTCTCAGTCTAAGCATTCCCCTGCTAAGAATGCTCTGGCATGAAATTACTGAAGCCTGAGCACACATGCTTACACACACACATACCTTTTACTCTCCTAACGCAGAGCCAATGAGGATGCCCTTCACAGTGCATGATGACATACAATGAGCTTATAGGATAGACTGAGTTTGGACCATTGACCCAAAAAAGAAAAAATGGTGGCTTACCTGTAAATTCCATCTCTTGGAGTACAGTACAAGCAAATTCTTCATAGAACCTGGGTTATAGGCTCATACCTTTAGATGATTTGACACTGGCAACGCTCTTGAGGACACATGCCCTAGACCAGTGGTCGGCAAGCCGTGGCTCGCGAGCCACATGCGGCTCTTTACACACGCTAATGCGGCTCTTCTGTGTGCCGGGGGCGCCTGCTCCCCTCCCTCCTCTCGGGCGGCCGCCCCAAAAGTCAGGACCTTTTAATCCGGCCCGCGGATGTGGCTGTCAGGATGTGTGTAGGCGGGGCAGCGTGACGAGCGTGAGGGGAGGGGAGCTAGGCTCCTCTCACAGTCCGCCCTGAAGACCGGAACGGCGTGGGAACACGGCGAGAGGAACGCGCGGAGCAAAGGTAAGTGAATTGACACAGGGGGGACTTGGGGACTTAATATGGGGAATGAATTACTATAGGGGGAATGAATTACTATGGGGGATGAATTACTATAAAAACCTATTGAAACTAAAAACAGTGTACCATCCTATGTATTTTCAGTTTTAAAAATGTGGCTCTCAAAATAAATTTCAATCGTGGTTTTGGCGAGATTTGGCTCAGTTGAAAAAAAAGGTTGCCCACCACTGCCCTAGACCTACCCTATTCAATAAGTCTTCAAGTTTGTAGCAACTCTGAAATATGGAATTTACAGGCAAGTCAAAATTTCTCTTATGTTAAATGGTACAATACAGGACAAGTATTCATAGACCTGGGATGTCCCCAAGCAATTAATGAAAAGAGTAGGCAACTAGGCAAACAGAACTTTGCCAACAGGCCCAACCACAATGGTTAGAAAAATCCAGTTTCAGAGTGCCACTGCAAAGAACCTTATGGTCAAAAGCTGCACCTACAGAAGATCGGAAATCCTTCTGGTAGAACCTTGGGAAGGTATGAACAGAGGACCAGGTGGCAGCCTTACACACAACTAGGCTACTGAGGCCTGGTGCCAAAATGACTGGGAAATTCCCACCGATCTGGTGGAATGGGTGCAGGAGAAGATTTGTCCTTGAGAACGCAAGTTCTAGTGATATTTCAAATTAATCTCACAATGGTGAACTTGGAATCAGAGTGTCCCTCACTGAGAACAAGACAAACCGGGAATCTGTCGGTTTGATCAAACCTGTAGCTTTGTTGTAGGCTAACTACATCTAGGAAATGAAGATGGATTTCCTTACAATGCTTTGAAGCAGGACACAAGTTTGGTAGGACTATGTCCTCACTGAGGTTGAAGCCTGATAGCACCTTAGGGTGAAAGGATTGTCATTGGTGTGAGACAATCTTTGTCTGACATTTGAGTAACAGCTACTTAAGTTGGGTCACCCACGTCTGACCAACATAGCCGAAAAAAAAAAAAAAAAAAAAAAAAAAAAAAAAAAAAAAAAAAAAAAGGGGCTACTTTACAGGAGAGATCTTCAAAGGGAATATTCCTGATGGGTTCAAAGAGTAGCTTCTGCAGGGCAGAGAGAACCAAGTTGAGACCCCATGGGAGCAGAGTATGCTGCAAGAGGGGCTTAATGCAAGACACATCAAGAAAAAAGTTATTTATAAAGAGGAAGTGAAGCCAGCTTGGGTGGGTGGCCTTGCAGAAGGGGGGGGGGGGGAATCAATGTTGTAGAGCCAACCAAACTGCTCTGAGCTCCAGGATGTTGGTGGAAAGCTTGACTTTGTTCCCTGGAGCACGAGGGACTAACACTCCTAGCCAGCCTGAACCTGGAAGACTGGCATCGGTTATAATTTGCAAGAAATGGGGAAGGAAAGGCTTCCCAATTGTTGGGGTTGGGCTTGGAATCCACAAAGACAGGGAGTCCTTTGCTGGGCTGGACAGGAGCATAGGTAGGTTGAGAGAAGGAGTATGCCTGCTCCAAGTCGATAGGTGTAGCGATGGAAAGCTCTTAAATGAAATTGGGCAAATGGTAGAGCCTCAAAAAAAGGAGGCTGCCATGAGCCCTAAAACCCTTATGGAGAATTTCCTTATGGGATGATTTTCTGACCTCTCGGCATGGGATCTGAGAGAAAGTTTCATTTCTGGAAAGAAAAGGTTTGCTTGGGTTTGCATGTGTTCAGGACCAGACCCAAGTATTCCAGGTGAAGAGAAAGCTGGAGAGCAGATTTTTTTTTTTTTTTTTAAACTCATCACCCAACCAAAAGCCTGGAGCATATTGTCCTGTGGTTGTTTGCAGACAGCTAGATAGGAGAGGAGTTTTTCAGGAGAAGATTGCATAGATAGGTTGTGATCTGGATGCTTTGAGTTCGTAGAAGGGCAAAAATAGGTGCTAGGACCTTTGTGGCTACTCAGAGCAGAGAAGAGGCCAAAGGGCAGTGCAACAATCTGGAAGCAATTGTCTGCCACTATGAAGAGCAGAAAGTGCTGATGAGGTGTAAAAATGGAAACATATAAACATCCAAGATGCCTACAGATGCCATGAATTCCCCTAGTTTCAGAGAGGCAATTATCATCCTTGCAAATTCTTTACAAACTTTTGGCATTAGAAGGTATTTGTTGAGGGATTTTAAAGTCCAGAATAAAACAAATACCCTATTGGGCTTTAGTACTGTATACAGGTTTGAAGAAAATCCTGTGAAGCAGTCTTGTGGGGATACTGGCACAACTACACCCTGGGACAAGAGTTGGTTCAGAGCATTCTGCAAATTTGACTTATCTTTGGGCAGTTTTCATTTGATTTGGAGAGAAGAAAGTGGTGAGGGGGTTGAGCTCTTTATTATGTACCCCTTTGAAACCATCTATTGAACCCACAGATCTGAGAAGTCTGTGACCCAGCGAGAGTCAAAATGTAATAGATGTCCCCCCCATGTCTGCTTAAAATTGGTTCTAAAAAGGCCAGAAGTTTTTTTTTTTTACCTGAATGCATTCAAGTAAAAAACCTGTGTGCAGCTCCAAATCCAGTACTCCCTATACAGGTGAAACTCGAAATATTAGAATATCGTGCAAAAGTTCATTTATTTCAGTAATGCAACTTAAAAAGGTGAAACTAATATATGAGATAGACTCATTACATGCAAAGCAAGATAGTTCAAGCCATGATTTGTCATAATTGTGGATTTGGTGTTTTCATGAGCTGTGAAAAGCCATAATCATCACAATCTCAGAAAATTAGAATATTACATGCAATCAATAAAACAAGGACTGCACATAGAACAATATCGGACCTCTGAAAAGTATAAGCATGCATATGTACTCAGTACTTGGTTTGGGCCCCTTTTGCAGCAATTACTGCCTCAATGCGGCGTGGCATGGAAACTATCAGCCTGTGGCACTGCTGAGGTGTTGTGGAAGACCAGGATGCTTCAATAGCGGCCTTCAGCTCTTCAGCATTGTTCGGTTTCATGTCTCATCTTTCTCTTGGCAATGCCCCATAGATTCTCTATGGGGTTCAGGTCAGACCAGTTTGCTGGCCAATCAAGCACAGTAATCCCATTGTCATTGAACCAGGTTTTGGTGCTTTTGGCAGTGTGGGCAGGTGCCAAGTCCTGCTAGAAAATGAAGTCAGCATCCCCATAAAGCTCGTCTGCGGAAGGAAGCACGAAGTGCTCCAGAATCTCCTGGTAGACGGCTGCGTTGACCCTGGACTTAATGAAGCACAGTGGACCAACACCAGCAGATGATATGGCTCCCCAAATCAACACAGACTGGAAACTTCACACTGGACTTCAAGCATCTTGCAGTGTGTGCCTCTTCATTCTTCCTCCATACTCTGGGTCCTTAGTTTCCAAATGAGTTGCAAAAGTTGCTCTCATCAGAAAAGAGGACTTTGGACCACTGAGCAACAGACCAGGTCCGTTTTCCTTTAGCCCAGGTGAGACGCTTCTGACGTTTGTTGTTCAGGAGCGGCTTGACAAGAGGAATCAATAAAACATTTGAAGCCCACGTGCAGGATCCGTCTGTGTGTGGTGGCTCTTGATGCACTGACTCCAACCTCAGTCCACTCCTTGTGAAAGTCCCCAACACTTTTGAATGGCCTTTACCTGACAATCCTTTCCAGGCTGCGGTCATCCCTGCTGCTTGTGCACCTTTTTCTTCCACACTTTTCCCTTCCACATAACTTTCTATTAATGTGCTTTGATACAGCACTTTGGGAATATCCAACTTCTTTTCAATTACCTTTTGAGGCTTTCCCTCCATATGGAGGGCGTCAATGATGGTTTTCTGCACAACCGTCAGGTCAGCAGTCTTTCCCGTGATTTCCCTACTGAACCAGACTGAGAGACCATTTAAAGGCTCAGGAACCCTTTGCAGGTGTTATGGCTTAATTAGCTGATAGAGTGGGACACTTTGAGCCTAGAATATTGGACTTTTTCACAATATTCTAATTTTCTGAGATTGTGGATTTGGG